CCTTAATAAATTACTTTTACTGTGTAGTATGAGATGGTGTCTCTACTTGCAACCAAAAGAAACTTGAGTAAAGCAAAAAGATACATTGTGGACGTTCTGTGTCCATTAATTATCATCTACTGAGAGAGAGAGAGAGACACTCAACACATTAACTACAAGTGGTGTGATAAGTGTGGAAATCAGAACAAATTCCCTTTCTAATGGGAGTGAAGAGAAAGGCAATGAAGGAGAACCCATTGGAGCAAAAATTACATTTTGACATCTATTGTATGAATCCATTTATATGAGGCACCACAATAGACAAATGTATAAAGACAGAAAGTAGAACAGAGGGTACCAGGGGCTGGTGGGGAGGGGATGGGGGAGTTAACTATTTAATGGGCACAAGAATTTCAGTTTGGGATGATGAAAAGTTCTGGAAATGGATTGTGGTGATGGTTGCACGATATTACAAATATAGGTCATGTTACTGAACTGAATACTTGAAAATGATTAAAATGGTAACATTTATGATATGTATGTATTTCCACAATCAACGAAAAGAATCACACACATACAAGAAGAAGGAAGAGGAGGAGGAAGAAGAAGAAGAAAAATTGCACCTGAGTTCGTTCAGTATTGAAGCCACATTTCTGTATGGGTCATTACCCATGGGCCACCCTAAAGGGGGCCTCAGTTCCCAGTCACTTCCAGTTCTCTGCCCAAACAGTGAAGCAGCTCCAGGCATTCAAAGTCAGTCCTCAGAGGAACTGAAGATGGAAGAAGCAAAGTACAGAGAACCCTGAAGATGAGCACACAGAAGAGGTAAGAGGGGTTGAAAGGATCGGGGTGGGCACCAACAGTGTCTGCTGTCCCCAGTCTCGGGTCACCTGCACCGGCCGGTTAGCAAGTTACACATTTTTGATATTATTGGTCACCTGACCACACTTACTCCATCATTCAGAGTCCAGGTGAAAAACCAAACTCCACGCCAGGTAGTTGGATGAAGGGACTTTACAGGTAGTTAGTTACAAAGGTGTTGGAGGCACCAACGGAACACCGGGGAGAAGACATTTCCAATATGAGCAACTGAGGAAGCCACTATCATACCTAGGAATGGAGGGACAGGAGGAGGACTCGTGACAGAGCCAGAGGCCAGACCTCTGTGGCAAGAGATGCACTATCTGCCAAAGACACCACTGGAGGAAGAGAGAGGTGGAAGAAATACCCCAGCTTCTTCCTCTCGCCTGTCTGCCACTCAGTCTCCTGCCAGTATCTCTCATTGGCTAAATGCAGCTGGAAGTCAAGTGACCAGAGGCCTGAGAAACGCAGCCGGCAGGAGGCAGCCCAACCCCCAACCCCTTCTCCAAACACATCGAACAGAGAAGGACAAGGACTGACAATGGACCTGAGGACAAAGGCCAATGATCAACACACTTACCATTCTTCCATTCAATGAAGCCATATTAAGTGCATGCTCTCTGCCTGGACAATGCTAGACATTGGGGGTGCAGCATGGAATGATGCAGAGAGAGAATACAGTTTGGGGCAAGGCTGCCTCTAGCGCATACTGTTCCTTTGTGAAAATCAGGAAAAGTAGTCCCTCCAGGAGGACACAGCCCCTTGGGCACACAGCTGGCGCAAGCTGCATGCTCCTGGGCACGATACTGTTTCCACACCTGGGCCTGGAGATTCTGCTGCCTCTAGCAGCAGTCTTCGACCCGAGGGCCAGTGACTCCTGCAGGAAGAGTCCCTGAGAGGACTCCATTCACTCATTCACTTGGTGAATTATTGAGCAACTATTACGTGCCAGGCATTTCTCCTAGGTCTTAGAGAAATGGCAGTGGAAAATACACAAAAACTTCTTGGACTTCAAAGATGGCAACGTAATAATTGTCGAATACAGGCCGAGGTTATGTAACAGGTATTCGTTGCATTATGAGTTATGTTTTTCTGTGCGTTTAAATTTTTCACTTGAAAATCGGAGGAAAAAAATCTTTGCCTTCGAAGAGACAGACAATAAATAAGGGATGTGTGTGTGTGTGCATGTGTGTGCGTGCGTGCGTGTGTGTGTGTGTGTGTGTGTGTGTGTACAATGGTGCTAAGTAGTAAAAGGAGCCTGACAGAGGAATGATCCTGGGAAGTAATTCGGAGATTTCAGTTTTCAGTGCAGTGGACCAGAAACTCCTCACCGAGGTGATGTTTGAGCAAAGCCCAGGCTGCTGCTACCTGGAGGAAGAGGAGTCCTAGCGGAGGACACAGAAAAGGCGAAGGCCGAGGCAGGTACATGAGTGGGACTGGGTGCTGCCCAGGAGGGATCAAGGTCAGGCAGACAAGGGGAGGGAGGTGGCAGATGAAGTAGGGCTTTGAAGGCCTCCAGACTGTGGCGTTTCCTCTGAGTGACAAGCAGAGCCGCCATAAGGATGTGAGCTGAGGAGGAGTGACCTGGGCCGACTTGGGTCCGTGCAAAATGTATGCATCTTGGAGGGGCTGTAAAACTTCCCTCGGATTCTCAAAGGTGTCCAGTAAACCCTCGGAAAACTAAAAAGCGGGTGCGATGTTGGTTTTACCTCCAAATTTTGCTGCTTAGTCTTTGCATCTTGGCAGAAGAGCCTTCGACCCTTTCCTGCCTGTTTCGGGCGTTGTATTTGCTCTGGGGAACCCCTGACGGGAGCGGGGAGGGGGCAGGAACCTCTGGGGCACACCTGGGCACACCTGGGCACACACTCCGCGGATATCGGGTCTCCCGGGCTCGCCCATCAGCCTTCGGTCACAGATGGGTGCACCAGCTGGGACTCGACCTCCACAGGACCGAAGACGCCCTCCCCACACGCCCGAGGGTCCGCGCCCTTCCCCACGCTTGGCCGGGGAGCGCACGGTCTCCGCAGGAAGCTGCAGGCACTGCCGGGTGGCTTTGCTGGGGCCCCGCGTTACCATAGCGACCTTGGCCGGGTCTGGGACGCCGGAGCGCACGCTTCTGGCCGCGACTGACTGAGGCTGGAGGCTGCGACCCCACTGCCCTCTCCTGGGGACTCCGCATCCAGGCTCTGCCTCGCAGGGGAGCGCAGGTGAGAGGACTCAGGGGCACCGGGGCACCGGGCGGGGGTTCGGGACTGACCTCCACCCCCTGGGCTCGGCCCCTCCACCTTCCATTGCGATAATTATTGTTACTCAGTATCTAAACACCCCGGGCGGAGTCTTCCTATCAGCAGCTCGTGTATTAAGGCAGCAGCCTCCTGTGGAGTAGAACCGATGTGCCCGAAAGGTATGGGGCAGAGGATGAGTTTATATTACACTGAAGAGGCATTAAGTAACTAACTCCCAGTGACATCTTAAGGGAGTTACTAGATTTTAGTTCTCCTGCAATTCCGAGGAAGCCAAGGAGCTAGCGTCAGTTTGGGACTCATATGGCATCGACACCTTTCTAACACCTGCTAATCTCGATCTAAGATTTAAATTAGTTTCCTTTTAGTATTTTTATTTTTACAGTTACCTTCTCCTTAGAATACCTGATACTGTTTTTTCACTTATAGTAATGCTATATAAGGTCTCTTTCTTGGATAAATATATTATTTTTTACAAGTTAATTTAAATATCAAGATTCATCATAATAGAGGTGGTCCTTGGAAATGAGATAAAGCACACTAAGTTTAGGGCCTGAGACTGTTTCCCCGCTCCCAGCTTTCGCCCTTGCTGTTTTCGTTGGCTGGAGTGACTTTCCCTATTTCTAGGCACGATTGTCAAAATCGGTACCAGCCCGGTGCGGTTGGTCTGTCGGGTCAGACTCCCCCAGGCCCTGCTGTAGGCGGACAGAAGGAATACCTGTGTGGGCGGGGCCCAGCGCAGAATGAAAATGCAGGGCCCTGGCTCAGAAAGTGTAAGTTCGAAATGGTGACAGCGGAGCAGGAAACCAAGCACGGGCCCTTCTAAAGGCAGGGCCCTGGGTGACTGCTCGGGTTGCACACGCGTGACGCTGGTCAGGGGGGTAGGGGTGGGGGGTGCCTGGGACACGGTATCTCCTGGAACCAGCTCAGCCCTGAGGTCATTCTGATTGGTCAGTCCTCTGCATGCTGATAGTCACTCTAGCCCTTGCTGCTAGCACTGCTGGGGTGTGTGTGTGTGTGTGTGTGTGTGTATTCCCCCAATCCATGGAGCAGAATAGATAATTTTTGCTGAAGGGGAACAGGGATCCCCAGCTTTAGAGGGGCCCATCTTTATCACCTTGTACAAGCCCCATGGAGACAGACAGAAAGACAGGAACATCTATACTGGGGACATGAAGCGCACAGTGAGGGGAGGGGCCCTAGACACTCAAAGTCTCTCTACAACCCCACCAGGAAGGGCGGGCAGGAGAGCCCCGGGTCTGGTGGAAAAACCAGGTGATGAGGCAGACAGGTCGGGTGCCCAGGCAGTGATGAGAGGTCAGAGGTAGAAGGGTGACCAGTCATCCTGGTGTGCCTGAGACTGTCCCAGTTTTAGCGCTGCAAGTCCAAGGCCCTAGGAAACCCCTCAGTCCTGAGCATGCGGGGACACTTGGTCACCCTGAAGGCAATATCTTTGTGGGCTCTCCTGACAGCTTGCAAATCCCTGCAAAGCCAGCCTCTGGGCTTTTCCACCTTCCTATCCACCTGACAGGTGACACAGAACCAAGAGGGCTAAAGTGCTGGGTGCCAGGCCCGTGTGTGTGTAAGGGGGTGTCCCTGTGGGAGGTGCCATAGCAGCTGTCTGCCAGCCCAGAGCAGCCTGGGTACCCCAACTCTCACTCCCCTGAAGTGGGTCCCAGTGCTCACCACTGGGGCCTCCAGGTCACGCTCTAGCCTTAAGGCCAGCATCCACTCTGATTGGTCATCCTGGTTATTAAATGTGTGACTGTCACCCCCTGCCCAAGGGCAGATTCTTCCTAATGCCATCACAAACCCAAGTGCTGTACTGGTTTCCCTGGGTTCCACAGCAATTGTGTCATCAGACCCCTCCCCCCAGGGGGGCCCATGGAGAAGCAAGGGAGGGGACGGCCGAGGGTCAGCCCGGCACAGAAGGATCCCCTCTGAGGGCAGCTCTTCGGCCCCAGGGACCCAGAACACACATGACTCACGCACTGGAGCTCAGACAGGTGCCTCCCCAGGAAGCCGCAGAACGCTGGCATAACGCAGGGCGTGCTGAGCCCCTGATGTCCCCAACCCTTTGCCAGCACCCTCTGGCCCTGCAAAAGCAGCCAACATGCCTATCTCCAAGTGCCCGCAAAAGTCAGAGCCTCTGTGGAAGGGATGGGACCAGAAGGCCCAGAAGAACGGACTGAGGCACCAGGTGTATGCTGTCAATGGCGACTGCTATGTGGGCGAGTGGAAAGACAACATGAAACACGGTGAGTGGGGGACCCTCGGGGGCTCCAGTGGTGAGCGTGGGTTATTGCCCAAAGAAGCAGCACACAGAGCTCACTGAGGACATAAGACGTGTCTCTGAGGCGCCTCCAAGGGGCGAATGATGACCTGGATCATCCAGGGGCCTCCACATGCCGCGGACTCTGGAAAGGAATTCGGCCCTGACTTTAGGTGAGAGAAGGTCTCAGGGACCAGCAGGGCACAACGCAGTCTTGAAACACCAACCCTAGTCACAGCCGGGGGTCTGGGGACTCCAACTCAGTCCCTACCCTCTGAGACCTGGGCCAAGCATGGGGCTGGCTAGCAAGAGGGAAAGGCGGACCGCAGAAACCAGCTTGCAGTTGGGGTTCTGGTCTTCAAACTCAGCCCTGATATGGGGTCTGACCAATAGGCGGTGAGGGAGGACCCCGTCTCCCTAAGCAGCTGGGGGCTCAGACTTTAACTGGACTGGGCTCTGGGTCTAACCAGCAGGGGGCACAGGAGTACTTGTGACACAAATTAAATGGTGAAGAAAAAAAAGTTTTTATTTAAAAAAGGTGGCATGACTTCTCACTCCAATCTGGCGATTCCAGATTCTATGCTCTTAACCACTTCTCTCCTGCCTTCCTGAGTGAGGAAGTGCTTTGGAGCCCATGAATCTGGGCCAGAATCTCGGCACCACTAACTATGATCTCGAGTGATCACTATACCACTCGGCCTCAGTTCCCCGATCTGTAAAATTGAAATAATAGCTACCTGTAAAGATAAGAGATGCTATCTATCAAGTGTGTAGCCCAAGGTCTTTGCAGAAGGGGAAACATCTGGAATGTTCCCTGAGAGCTGAGCATGGTAGGGATGCTACTCAGAACCTTCCTTGTCCGAAAAGCCTTCCGAAGCTGACCCCACCCAGTGTGTGACACGACACCCATTCTCAGCACTGATTTAAACGCCAGGCTTTATGTGGCTGCTCAGAGCTCTGTGTGTGGTTAAAGATGCCTGCCGTATGCTTCAGTCTTTGTGGGCAGCATGTGGTGTAGACAGGGCCCTGGACTTGGAGTCAGGACCCTGAAGTTCTGAGCCTAGTTCTACTGCTGAGTAGTTGTTTGACTTTGGGTAAGTCATTTCTTATTCTCTGGATCTCGGCTGCCCCACCTGCAATATGCTCTTGTAGGCTGGTGTGGCCTTCTGAGCTCTTCTCCTGTGTGAGTCCCGCTGCCCCTCACCCCCTGGAGGCATAGAGCTGTTGGGGCTGGGGCTGCAGAAAGACCTGTCAGGGACTCAAGGGCCAGACCCCACCTCTCTCAAGACGCGCCTTTCGCCCAAGCTGAAATGAGTTGCTGTGGTATATGCAGACTGGAAGAGATTAAAATAAAAAGTCATCATGCAAGGCCAGGATGGAGTGGCTCTGGTGGTTCTCCAGATTCTCATTCATTCACCCCACTAACGCTCACTGGCGCTCCTAGTCCATGCCAGGCCCTGGACTGGGCATCTGGCATGATCCCAACCACAGGGAGCTTCCAGTCTCACAGAGAACCTGCACGATAGGTAATAACCCATTTTATAGATGAGGAAACTCAGATTCAGGGAGAGAAAGTGACTTACTCAAGGTCACATGGCTAATAGTAGTGACATCAGGCTGTGAGGGGACCAGAGAGGGACATGAAAGGGGCCATGAGAACATAGTCAGAGAGTGACGTTTGAGCTGAGCCCAGGAGAATCAGAATGATTAGCTAGGCAGAGGGGCATGTCTTCTAGACATGGGATCACAGTGCAGGGATGCTGTGCGGTATTAGGTCTTGTTCAAGGAACAGACTGGAAGCCAGTGGGGCTGGAGCAGGGAGAGCAAGAGGAGAGAGTGGGCAGGTCAGGAAAGCCAAGCACTTAGAGCCTCACTGGCTATGGTAAGTTTTGCCTTTATCCCGCAGGAAAATAGTCTCATTGGACCAACTTAATAAGATTTGAGCAAAGATTTGCAGGAGGTAGAGTGAGTGAGTATTTGGGGAAGAACATTCCAGGTCAAGGAACAAGCAGATGCCAAGGTCCTGGGGTAGAATTACATCTGGTGGGTTCCAGGAACAACACGGAGGCCATAGTGGTTGGATGGCAGTCTGTGGAAGGTGGGAGTGGAGGACACAGAAAGGGCTGGAATAGTATGAGATGGGTCTCCAGGTGTGTTAAAGAGAACTGAAGAAACATGCAGAACATTTTCTAGAAACTGTCAATGAAAGAAATTCCGAGCCTAAAGAAAGAGTTTATTATGAGCCAAGGGTTTTGAGGCTAGTCCAGGAAGCAAAATTTCAGGGGACTGAGAAAATGCTCCTGAGAATGGTAGTTTTGCAGCTTATTTGATACATTAGAATCAAAGGAGAAGATGTAAGTCAGGTGCATGAAAGCCATTGGTGGTAGATTAAGGTGAGAGAAAGCAAAGCGGGGAAATCTCTAGGATTGGATAAAAAAATTAAAATGGAGATACATACTTCTTTTACATGGGTGGCTGCAGGATAGTTAACATTTCATGAACACAGTTTACAGAAGTATGCAGGTAAAAGATAGTAACGAGGAATATTGAGGTTGTCTTGCTCCACATCAGGGTCTGGAGGAGACTGTTTTGACGTCTTAAGTATGTTATCCTAGATGCACACGAACAATGGATAGGGCTTGTTCGAGGTAGGGATTCATCTATCATACAGGCCTTAGGATGAGAGTTCCCACCATAATTCACTCAGTTAGGATTTTTTTTAATGATCAAAACACCCTTTGTGGTTATTTTTAAGTATCGAGCTTGTCAGGCTTGCCAAAGTAGCCCCCTTTTGTTCACCAAACCCTGGCCATCTGGCGTATCCCTTCCATATTATTAAGAGATGAAGCCGAAATGCTGAAGGGGCAGATTTCTACTTGGGTTTGCTATGTCAGTCTGGGTTCAGGGCAAAGGGCTGGAGAACCACTATTTGTAGAAATTGGAACTTTCTTGGGTTTTTCCCAGGTGCTGGGGGTCTAGAGACAAGGCACAGACCCTGTCCCAGCCCTCAAGAGTCACCTAATCTAGGGGCCCCTGAGGCCTAGGCAGACCTAGCAACTGCCCCCCAGCAACGCTCCCAGCCCCATGGCGGCCATGTCTGCAGTACTGGCCCATCTGTGTGTCATCAGGAAAAGGAACAAAGATCTGGAAGAAGAAAGGAGCCGTCTATGAGGGGGACTGGAAGTTTGGGAAGCGAGATGGCTATGGCACCCTCAGCCTTCCCGATCAAGAGACAGGAAAGTACAGGAGAGTATACACGGGCTGGTGGAAAGGCGATAAGAAATCGGTGAGTTGTTCTCATCATGCCCTGGGGTGTCGGCCAGGCTAACAGCAGGCTGTGTGTGTGTGTGTGTGTGTGTGTGTGTGTGTGTGTGTGTGTGTGTGTGTGTGACTTAAAGATCTTTAAAACTGCCAAGATAATTACAACAATAGAGATCATCTCTGGATGGTGTGAGAGAGGCCTGGGAGAAGGGAGGTGTTGAAGGGAGGAGAACAGGGGTACTGTGTGGGTAGGAGAAGGAAGGGGTGGGGTAATCATCAAGGCTTCTCAGAACAAAACTCAGGAAACAGGAAGCCAGAGGAGAAGGCTCAAGGAGGAGCCTGTGACACCCCGTGGCTATAAGAAGCCAGCCAGGCTGTATGGGGGTGAATTCTCCTCCCCCTTCTGGTTTCCTGGCTTTCTTTTCCCTGAGCAGCCCTTTCTGAGAATCCTCCTTCTGTCGGGTGAGGATAAGAGACGTGTAGGAAAAGTGGGAGCAAGAAAGCTGAGGCCACACCCTTAGCTATAGGACAAGAGAGGAAGGTCTCAGGTCCCAGAGGTAGAAGCCAGGCAGAGGCGTGTCCTCAACCCATAAATGCCCGAATCCTCACCATAGGTCATGGGGACAGATAAAAATACAGTATCGCCATGGAGCAACTGCTGATGCAATCCTGGAACGAGATATGGTCCTTCATCTCTCACATCATCACCATCGCCATCACCATCATTATTATCATTCCCATTTTATCTATGAAGAAACTAGCTCAGAAAGATGATGTGCCTACCTGGGGTCACATTTCTGGCAAGTGGTAGAGCCCATGATTTCATGAATTTTGCTCTCAAATTGCTTATTTATTGGCCAGTGAGGAGAGAGATCCCCAAATAAACAGCTTACATACAATATGGTGTTAGAGTATTTCACAGACAGCCCAGAGGAAGATCATTGAGCATTCAAGGCAGGCTTCCTGTAGGAGGGGACACGAAAAGATGCAAAGAGTTAACCAGGAAGAGAAAAGAGAGAAAGGGAAGTAGCAAAGGAGGCAGAAGTAGCAAAGGGAAGGATATGTCAGCAGAGCGTGTGTGCCCACAGGGGTGGGGGCCTCGGAGGAGAATCAGAATTTTGAGGGGGAGACTTGGACTGCTGGCTCGACCTCCTTAAGTGTGATCTGCTGGGAGTCCATGATTCTCTGTGGTTGGACGTTAATGGTGGTGCCGATGCTCATTTTTCTGAGGAGAAAGTTTATAGCTTTGATCTGATTCTCAGAGGCATCAGAGTTGGGGAGATGGGCGATGTAAAGATCCTTCTTGTTGTTGACTGGAGGATGCAGCGGGGGCGGGGAGAATGGGAGAGTAGAGGAGTGGGGGACCAGGGAGGAAGGGAGAAATGATGGGCTACATGAAAGCGGTCGCAGAAGGACAGACAGAAATGGACAGCCTCGGGCGACTTAGCAATACACGACCATCGGCTTGGGTGGAGGACTGAGGGAGGAAGCAGAGAAGTCCGGGTGTGTGGCATGGGTGCCAGGGAGGACGATAGGGCTTTCCTAGTAGCGGGGGCGGCGTGAACAGGGATATCTTCGTGCTTTCAGGGCTATGGGATCCAGTTTTTCGGACCCAAGGAGTATTACGAGGGTGAGTGGTGTGGCAACCAGCGCAGCGGGTGGGGCCGCATGTACTACAGCAATGGCGACATCTATGAGGGCCAGTGGCGGAACGACAAGCCGGACGGGGAGGGCATGCTGCGCCTGAGTGAGTGCCCCTCCACGCCGCCCGGCCCCGCCCACCAGGCCGCGCCCCGCCCCCTCTCCTCAGAGCCTCCTTGGCCACGCCACGGCCACGCCCCAAGGCCACGCCCCCAAATGCCTGTGGAGTGGGTTAAGGTGAAGGACAGAACCAGATCCCTGCCCTCAGGGAGCTTATACTCTAACAGGGGAGGCTGGCGATAAATATAAACAATTAAGACATTTTCTTACGGTCATAACAGTCATAGCCTACACTTACACAGCACTGAGCTCATTAACCCTCACTGCGACGCTGTAAGATAGGTACTTTTATCGCCCTCACTCTACAAATGAACTGAGGCACAGAGAGGTTACTTGCTCAAGGTGACACAGTCTGTTAGAGTGCTAAGGAATTAGATATAGGAAGGCAAGTTGGAGGATGACAAAGGAGTTGGGGACAGGGGTTATTTAGATTGACTTGCGGGTCAGAGGTCAGGGAATGCCTCCC